TTATAGTGGCCAACTTTGTCTTCTTTCTCTAGGGTGATTGTTGCCCCTGTCAATTGGATGGAGTGTTACAGTGGAGAGTGAAAGGATGAAACGAGGAATCTCTCCCGGGGAAATGGGTGATGCAAGTTAAAAGTTATTTTAGGGATATTTTAGTAAATCTCCATCTAAATTGATGGACATAAGGGTAAAATGGGTATTTCATAAAAACTAATTCATTGGGCAAATGTTTTTTCTGTATGGGGCAATGACATAAAGGAGGTAGTTGCAGGTTTTTTCAAAGCTGCAAGATAGGTTTTTGTTAAAGTGGAACCTTAAGTGAGGTTTATGATTGTCAAAAACCCTAGGGGAAGTTTTTATATTTTACCCTTATGTTTTAGGGGTGCAAGTGAATCAAATCATGATCCAATTTGGATTTGATCTCAATCCGCCCGATTTGAAATATCCCTTAGCAGATTATCGAATCAAATCGGATCAAGAAATACAATCTGTTTGCTTATTAGATTGAATTTGAACCACCCTTTGATTCAATATAGGACAAAAAAATCTGATTCAATCCACTAACATATAATGTGTATTTTATTTTATATTATTATATATTAAAAAATATTCAATTGCACGAAATTGGTGGTCCATAAGTCTTGCTAAGTTTCAAGAAAAAGAAAACAATACCTATTAATATATTATGATATTATTTATTTATGGGTCATTTATTAGAACACCCTCTACAGTTTCACAAATTTACTTAAATCTATCATATAGTGTTCATTGTACTAAAACACCCTTTATACTCTGCAACCCATTTACTTAATCGACATTTTTTGTTTTACCATCTGAAAATAGTAACATGATCACCTAAATTTAGTGGAAAATGTTAAAAGGCATAAGCCCATAATTGTTTGATCCAAAAGTACCCCTAACAATTCTCTCCATAGAAAACAAAATTTGATCAAATAGAGCTCATTTATTTGTTCCATGCAAGACTATTCAATGTTCTTAAAAAGGTTATTCTGCATTAGCCACTAGAAAAAAAAGAAAGAGGCAACCAATCAAGTGGTATTAATCACAATTCATGGGGGTGCTTTGATTGGCCAAAGCTCTTCCGGTACCATGCCTTTAGAGAGAGAGAGAGAGAGAGATGAGACCTATTTATTCACTTCCTTTTCATCCTGCTCATGCCCTTTTCACTGCATTGACATACCAGTAAAACAAAACAACACCTCAACTATTCCTTTAATCCTTTTCACTCCTCTAAAACACAAAAAAAAAAAAATGCAACATTGGTCCCAAATACCACACCACCTAAAACTATTTATCTCATTCTTTTAGATCTTCACAAAATCATAACCAATGGACTGAGTGACTTGTTTTCTCCCCTAGCTCTTATTTTCTCCCCATAGTTTTAAATGGCTAACTAAGCGAGGCTAAAGGCCTATGCCTTAAGGCGAGCATGAACAAAAGGCGAGCGCCTCGCCTTTGATAGATTTTATCTCCAGCATGAATTAAGTTTCTTGAATCCTATGCCTTCAGCCTTTCACCTTGTATTATCAAAGGCCTAAGCTTCAAATAGATTCCCTATCAATGTTCAAACAAGGGTAATAAATGAAATTAAGGCAAAAAGGACAGAAATAGAATTAGGGCTTGTTAGTCATTGGTTGAGTAGTTTTATTGAACATCCATTGATAGGCAGAGGGTCAGACGGTGAGAATGAACTTCACCAGACAAGGCTTTGCTGGTGGGTCGAGCTGCATCAACCGCTTCGATGGTTAATTGTATAAAAATGCTAAAGCAAATAATCCCATTCCGCACCAATTACCTCTTTGATTTTTTTTTCTTTTTTATTTTAATTGGTCTTTGTTATTAATTTATAGGCAAATTTCTTTTTAGGAAACTGACTAACTCTATCCTTAATATTTATATATTTTCTTAAAATATCCTTAAGTTTTCTAATAATGATTTAAAACTTTCATTACCGTTAATTCCAATCTCTGATAACTCCTCCTTTCCTTTGATTCTAGAACTTCCTATTTGGTTATTTGGTGGAGAAAACGAACGAGGAGCGGCAGGAGAGATGAGGTGAGTGCATATCATCTACTTTCCGAGTCGGAGGGGTTGAGTCGAACATCCTCACCTCTTCCGCTTCCATCACCTTATTCGGAAAAGGGGTCTATTGGCGAGGAGAAGTACAGTAGTAGCTTAAGGAGTAAGTGGAAATGTGAAATAGCTAAAGATTGTGACGTGAGGCTTTTTTGTAATCCTTAATTATTCATCGTGAGGCTTTCCATGCGTAAAGCTTGTTCATCGTGAGCTTAAACCTACTTTCAAAGTCGTCTTTCATATGGGTCAGCTTCATCTGATCACTAATTCAGGTTGGCCATTAAATCACATAACAGTAGCTTCATTCACAGGAAGCAAAATTAGTCATCAAAACATTGGATGACCCAAATTTTTGGACGTAAATAGCGTGGTTGCTTCTGAAAAAGGAAAAAAAAAGAGTTTTGTCATCTTAATATCGTCTTTCACATAAAAGAGCACAAGAAAGCCCCTTCGTGTTCTAAGAAAGCTTCCATGCAAAGCTCTCCGAAACATGTTGCTTCTAAAGGCTGCCTTCTCTCGGTTGGAATCTTGATGCACCACCACGAATTCTACCGCGCATCCGCCTGTGGTGCGGATGGAAAGCAGGAAGCCAAGGAAAATCCCATGAAAACATTGTCGTCGGGTTGTTGAGGAAGAACAACAAGAAGGACGCGGATGGAGACAGAGGCAAAGATAGAGATGGAGATGAAGCGGAGGTAGAGGTGAAGACGGAGATAGAGCAACGATCTGTTTTTCATTTTCCTAAAATTTTTTTATTAGTTGGATTTTATTTTATTTTGAAAATTTGAAAAACATTGAAGGGCAAATTTGATATATTATTTTTTTACATTAGTACTTAAGGATAATATTAATTATCAAAAAACTTTGAGGTATGTAAACAATAAGGATAGAGTTAGGTCTTATTTGGATAGAATTTTATAAAACACTTTCTACTTTTGAATCTATGAAAGTATGAAAAACATGACATAGCATTTGTATTATGTAATTTATACCTTTTGTTTTTATACTTTTAAAAGTATGAAAAACCCCAAAAACATGAAGTCAACTTTTTATACTTCGTGCTTTTGGCAAAATTGTGCTTTTGTTTTCGTGTGAACAGGTGGTCACATGTGACCATCCTTCAATAAAACTCTTGACCCTACTTCCGCTTGTTGCTAGAGTTGGACTGCTATTATGAATCTCGAACCCCAAAATCATCGAAAGTAAAAATGGACGTGTTTTTGTCAAACAAAAAATGGTACTAATGTTTTGGAAAATATACTTTTCAATTTTTTTTACCCAAACGGTTTTCAAAGCAAAAATACCAAAGTAAAAGTATTTTATGTACCTTATACTTTGATATTTTTAAAATTAAAAGTAGAAGTCTGTTCAAACAATGCCTTGGTCAATTTCCTATAGGAATACTTTATTTTTTTTTTACCTTGTCAATTTTTTTATAAAATTTCCAAAAAAATTGTTTTTAAGAAAAAATCACATAAAACAAATCTAACAGACCATAAACATATGTCTAATACATCAAATAAGCCATACGAAATCATAATTTTATGTTTTTCATATCTCTTTTATTTATTTTTTTGGTATTTTATTGTTTATATACATGAAATTTTATTTTTTAAGGCTTAGGCCTTGGGCTTAATATACCTTCTTTGTCATTCACGAGGAAATATTCTCAATACACGGCAATAGTGTTCCATGAGGAATGGGATCTGCTCCTCACACTAGGGCGCCTCATATGCACATCCACCGTGCATTCAGAACATCTTCCGTGAAAAATAATTTACAAGTGCGAAAGATATTCCCAATACATGATAGGATACGAATGTGAGGAGTAGATTCGATCTTGTCGTTGTGTAGGTATCAATGTGAAGAACAGATCTACTCCTCACATAGGGCGCCTCACATGCACATCGTACCATATATTGGGAACATCTCCCTTATTTATAAGTTATTATTTATGGAAGATGTTCGCAATGCACGGCGGATGTGCATGTTAGGCGCCCCCGTGTGACGAATAGATCCCGTTCCATGAATGTGAGAATAATTTATAATAACAGATCCGAAGTGTTCGGGCTTAGGCCTCGCCTCTATTGCACCCAACCGCCTCACTGCCATTACTCTTTTAAAACGAATCCGGATCTACTCACAGTACCGGCCCGACAACATGTTTCCTTAATTTTATATTATTATTTAGGGGAGATGTTCTTAATAAACGGGATGCGGCTGTGAGGTCGCCGTGAGTAGTATAGCCCAATTATTTTAAAACCTTTTTTTTCAACATTCACAACCAAATATCTATTTTCTGTCCAACGGGTGACACGTAGGGGTACAGATATCCAATGACAGCGCGCTCAGTGGATCGCCGGTCAATTTTTAATGGCGAATGGGCCCTATCTTCGTCGCACGGATGCCAATCCGTTCTCCCCCTTTTGCACTGGGCACCTCCGGGCCTCCGGTTCCCTCTCCCATGATCCATCCACGTTATCCATGCAACCGCTCTGCTGAACGTAATTTCATTTGCATTTCAAGCTTCCACTTTTATCTTACATGAACTCTAGTCTGGACAATTCTCTGATTTCCGGCTTACTGTGAGAATATGCAAGTCTTTGTTTCGTTAATTCTTCTCCTTAGGGTCTGTTTCTTCATCATTTATCGTTGATCCTGTCATTGTATCCGTTTGCTGCTATCAAACTCTTTTCATTTATACCTTTTATCCTTTGATTTGATAGATTCGTTATAGGTCGAGTATATTTTTTTCTATATATTAGAACTCTCAAAACTATTTATTTTTTGTGGGTAGGTTTTAGGGTTTTTAATGGACTTGATGGATTGGATCAGAAGTATTTTCAGGAAGTTTGAAGTCCATTATTTGGATGAATAGCAGAACTGAATTTGAACTAAAGGTTTGTACTCCTTCCAAGCCAAAGTCACAAGCATTTTGTCAAATAGTTAATGTTGAACATCTGTTATTGTAAGAGATGAAAATGTATAGAAATCACATGGATCTCGCTGAATCTAACAAAGAATTTCACTCGACACTTCACTCTGACTAAACAAATAAAGAAGAGAAGAGAGGACCGAGGACTGAGAAATTTCCATTTGTTTCAGTCTAAGTCGTCCGGGACCTCCAGGTAAGTTTCTTCTACTTTTTTCTTCTTACTTTTTTAAGAAATAATTTTGGGAACGAAACAGGGAGCTCCGCCTCCTCTTCCTCCTCCTCTTCCTCCTCCAAATCTTCATGTTATTTTATTTTTCTTCATTTTTTAAGTACTTTTGGGACGAAACAGGGGCTCTGTCCCCTTCTTCTTCTTCTTCTTCTTAAACAGCGGCTGCGCCCCAACTTTCTAAATTTTCCTGTATTTTTTGCACTATTTTTTAAAAATGTTTTTTTTTTTTTTTTTTGTAATGAAACAGGGGCTCCGTCCCCTTATTTCTCTCTCTCTCTCTCTCTCTCTCTCTCTCTCTCTATCTTTTTTTTTCTGCATTCTCCCTTTTTATTGGCCTGAAACAGGGTCTCCGCGCCCTTAAACACAGTCCAAGTCGTCCTTTTACTCCTGTATTTTTATTTTCTTTACTTTTTTTAAGATTTTTTTTTTTTTTTGGGAACGAAACATGGGTTCCGTCTCCTTATTTTTCTCTCTCCTTTTTCGCTGCATTCCCCCTTTTTTGTTGTTCTGAGACAGGTTATTAAACATTGATATTAATATATTTAAATGCTGTATTTTATGATGGCATTTTATGTTTTTATATGAAACTTATACTTAGTTACTTATTTGAATGATTTTATTGCTAATAGGTAGTATACATGTATGCTGGTTAGTATAAAAAACTTATAAAGTAGCTCGGGAGGGGTAGGGATCTTTAGATTTTATACTTTCAGATTTCATCGTCTAGGTGCCTTGACAACTATGGTGTCCGATTTTCAGAAGGTCATTGTTGGACAGAGAAATAGAGAAGTATGTCAAAAACTTTGAAAGTTAAAAGAGGTAAAGATCAGGTCATAATTGGAAGATGCTAAATTGTTGAAATAATGTGTGGATGACAAGTTCACTGTGAAGTTGTACGAGGTGCTGATTAGAAGTCAAGTTGAAGATTTTCCATTAAAAGTATTTGGGATTAGTATCTATGAATGATATTCTAACAATTAATCAATTGAAATCTAGAAGATTTCATTTAACAAGCCTAGGTTTTTTATGCAAAAGTTGTGAAGAAGATGTGGTTCATCAATTTGTTACTTCTCAGGTGGTACATTTTGCCTGGTCATACTTCTTCTGGTTATTTATTTAGGCATCCTCAATCTCACCGACTCATCCAAATCAACTTTATGAAGTTTTCTTATCTTGGCCCACTATCCGTGCTGGAAAGAAAGCAAAAATTTATAGAGTGTGATTCCATTTTCTAGAGTTTAGGGCATTTGGAAAGAAAAGCATCGAAGTGATAGATGAATCATTGCTGATATTGGTTCTGTGACGACAGAGTGGTTGATTGTGCATCCTGAATTCGAATACATGGATTGTTGATTATCCTGATGCTGATATTTGGTTTATTGCTATATATTTTACCATTTCTTGGTGTAATGATAAAATTTCAGGCTGGCAAGCTGAGAATGTGGGTTCAAGTCTGAGGACCAACATTGAGGGTCCATTTGGTTCATGGGAATGGGGGCCTGGAATCGGAATTGGAATGGTCCATTCTGATTCCAACCATTTGGTTGGGCAGAATCGGAATCCAATTCCCATTCCTGGTGGAATGGCATTACCCCATTTGAGGGAATGGCAATCCCCCTCCCCTGGGAATGAGAATCCATTCCAGCTGATTCTGATTCCCATCTGAACCAAATAGGCAGGGGGAATAGACCATTCCGATTCTGATTCGTAGGATTTCATTTCCAATTCTGACTGCAAACCAAACAGACCTTGAGTGTATTTCCCTGAAGGAAGAGTTAGAGATTTCTAACTTCTTTCAAGATTTTTGGGGAAGGTGAAAGAAAATGAATTGAAGTCCAAAGTTACTCATGACAGGAAAAGTTCAAATGGGGAAGAGCCAAAGGAGAAAAACGTTTTCAATGGTGAGTTTTATTGGAGAAAGAAGGTTAACATTCAACTAGGGGAGAGAGCAGTGGGAGAATTGATGGGTGGTTTCTGTAAAGGAGGTGGTGGATGGTTGGGCTGCAATTGGTTAGGTTATTAGTAATCTTCTTAGGCTGAAAGGGTCGATAATGTTAACACCCTTCGACAAGAGCAAAGCTTTACTTGGTTTCCTTGAAGAGAAAGTGGATATAGTTGCTTTGACAATCCAGATCACAGAATATATATATATATATTTATATATACATACATAAGGAAGGTTTTAGTGCTCCAAAAGTCCTTAGTTGGCATTCATCGAGAAGTTGAGAGCAGCTTTGAGAGAGGTTTTATGTGCAGGTGTTAGCCAATAGCAAGAGGGATGAGCCACCTGTCATAAAAGAGAATGGGGCTACTTTAAAGCAGTTGGAAATGGGCCAACAGGGAGCTTCTAGTTTTATGGTTAGAGGATTGGAGAAGGCTCAAGGGCCCAGAGATCTGGGTGGGGTTGAGCCTAGCGATCACATGTGGGTGAGTGGGTCTTAAGTCTTAAAACTTTAATGACTCAGAGTGGGATGGTTGATTCAAGTCTCCAAACCCAGTCGGAGAGGTCTAATCATATGGCACATGATCACTTAAAGTGATCACATGAGTTTGGAGGGCAAGTTGATAGATCAATTAGCAGATGGTTTGAATGATATATCATTGCCTCCAATTGAGCTCTCTTCAATTTGTAGGGGTCACAGAAACAATCCCTTGCCGTGGCAGTCTTCCCCAAACTTTAGCTTGGTAAATCATGGGAGTGCTCACCTAGCAGTTGATGGAAGAAGTCAGGTTGATGAGGGTGGTGCTTCAAGCAGGAAAGCTTGAAGGTTGTGTAAGAATTTTGAAAGGAAGGCTTCTTGTGAAGGCTACAATAAAGGAATGTGCTTTGGCTTTTAAGAGACAACATAAAAGAAGGAAAATTTTTTCTTCAATCAGTGTGGATGCTTGCAATTCAAAGGAGGAAGGAAGACTATGGAAAGAGAAGGAAGAGAAGTCCATGGATCAAAATCTTGAGTTATAAAAATGTTTACAATTTTGTGAAGGTACAGACATAGGTTTGGTTAAAGATGGTGGGACCGTAAGGGATTTATTAGGTACCACAGATGAGTTGGATTCTGAGGCTTTTGCCTGTACCGAAGATTTACAGAGGGGTACTGTGAAAAATGAAGATGAGGTAAGGGTTACTGGAGATCAAATGAAGGAAGTTTTGGTGTTCAAAGAGGTGGAAGGCAAAGAAGAGAAGAAAAGATGTATTGATCAAAAAAAAAAGAGAAGAAAAGAGGTGGGGGTGGTCAATCTAGAGGATGGTTTGGAGCTTGGGTTTAGTGGCTGCAAGGAGAAAGAGGTAAAAATGTATAAACGAAAGAATACAAAGAAAACCATTAACAGAGGGTAAAGGGAAAGAAATTGGAAACATTGAGGCCGAAGATAGTGATGATAACTTGAGTGAATCTTCAGAGGAAGATATTATCATTGATGAAAACTCATGAAGCTGAAGGCTCAATTGACTTGGAAACAGTGATAAATACTGAGGTGGAGGTTAGCAATGTTTTGGGCTTGTTTTTTATAGGAGGGAGAGGAAGGTGCAAGGAAATCGTTTAAGGAAATGGAAGATAAATATGGTAGGCCTTTGATTTCTTTTTAAGGGTAAACCAAAGAATAGGTCACCTCATGAGGTGGTTTGAAGTAATGAAAGGAATACTAAGGTTCAAGAGAGATTAGGAGTAGTTGAAGTTGAAGGGAATGGTGAGTTGATAGCTGACCAGATCTTTGAAAAGAATGAGGTATTGAAACTAGAAATTATTAATGCTAAATCATGCAACTCAAATGATATTGAGAAGATTCCTAATGCAGCCAAAAGATTCATATCTCAAAGAAATCAAATCACGTTTTATTTATCAAAAAGAAAAAGGAAATCAAATCACATTCCAAGTATCAAAGGTTTTTGCTAGATTGGAGATGGGATTATTTGGGATCAGATCCATTAAGAAAGTGGAGAAAATGAAGAAACACAACAAGAGAAGTAGCGAGGTTTGCATTCAAGATTGAGGAAAAGCAATCTAATTGGGTCTTGAGGTTCAGAGATATTGTGGAGCTCTTGATGGGTTTGTAGGGTTGAAAGGGTTTTTTGGAGGGTTGATCTTAGGATTTTTTTTTATTGGTTATGAGGTTTTATTTGTATTTGTTGTGGGATTGTTTTTCTTGCTTGGGCTTTGGATAGAAGTTGGGGAGGGAGAGCTTCTGGGATCTTTTCTTTTGCTTGTTTGTGGGTGATATCTTATCACCTTTCTTGTACCCCCTTTTTCTTTTAATAAATATTCGTTTTTATTTATTGTCCAAAAAATGAGTAATGGCCTTCTCTCCCTCTCCCCCTTCGGTAAAACCTCATCACCTTGTTTTTTTTTAAGAAAAGTGGTTGTTGAAAATTTGATTGAGAACAGAGTCTTAATGGGTGATTGGAGCAACTAGGTAAACCTTTTTTTCCTCTTTGCATGAACCGTTGCTACTTACCAATATTTTTGTTATTAACTATAAGATATTAAATATCAAATGAGAAAATTGAAGTTTTGGAGAACTAAATGCTTGTTGCAAATTTAGTCATGTTAGGAGGAATACCTGTGCAGATATTATAAACTTCCTGATATCTGCTCCTATTCTTTTCAATAGGTGGTTCAATTAGTCATGATTCTGTGGCATTACAGTCTGAATTCATGATAAAGAAGAAATTATGTTGAATCATTGTTAGTTAAGCAGTAAGCAGCATTCTGACTGTTTCTTTCATGCAGATCACTTGTTAAAATATTATTCTCTTTCAAAGTTGCTGTATAAAAGCTGTCCTGGTCCAAGTTTCATGATTCAATGAGATTCTGTGCATCATTGGCTACTTGGTTAGCCATGTAAGCACCTTGTTTGTAACTGGGAGTTGTGGATTTCTGCCATTACCACTTCCTGTAGTTCAACAGGCTCCTTTGAACAGCTTTTTTCCACTGCGGTGATTACAATTTCCTGTTTTCCATGCCTTAACAGAGAGGATGGGAGTTCTTACATGTTCTACACCATCTTTTTTTCTTCCTTGTGCTTCATTTAGATCCAAAGGCCATCTAGAAAAACCTGTAAATCCTTTGATTGTTAATGGTAAGCATGGTGTTTTAACTTACTCTTTGTTTTCTTTTGTCCTCTTTGAAAAGTGCACTTGTCTTTATCCATAAAAAAAGTGCATTTTGTCTAACTTGATTAAGATTAACCCTTCTACTGGTATTAAAATGTATGTTTTAGGCTTTCCAAGGAAACCTATTGGTTTGAAGTGGGAGCTTTGGGGCCAAAAGTTGGAGAGCTGCAGACCATATTATCACATTAATTTGCAAAATCAGTGTAGAATTTCCAGAAATATTATTGTAAGATCAGAACTTGCTGGAGTTGGATCTCCTGATGCCGCCTACTCATTAACAGGTTTAGATGTTAACCCTTGATGATATTCCTTCTTTTCCTTTCTTTTCATTTTTACCTATTTGCTCTTTTATGACTTTTAATTGTTGTATTATGGTTGGCAGAATATCAACTGGGGTCAAAAATTAGGGGAATTTTCTTTTATGCTGTCACTGCCGTTGTTGCCATTTTTATGTTTGTCTTTATGTTGGTGATACATCCTTTTGTGATCCTATTTGATCGATACCGAAGAAAAGCACATCACCTTATTGCCAAGACTTGGGCAACTTTAACTGTTTTTCCCTTCTTTAAGGTTGAGTTTGAGGGATTGGAGAATTTACCAAGTCCTGATACCCCTGCTGTGTATGTTTCCAACCACCAGAGCTTTTTGGATATCTATACCCTTTTGATTCTTGGTAGAAGCTTCAAGTTTATCAGCAAGACTGGAATCTTTGCCTTTCCTGTTATTGGATGGGCAATGTTCCTCATGGGAACTATTCCTTTGAAGCGAATGGACAGCAGAAGTCAAATGGTAGTTTTGTTTCCTTTTCTATTTATTGTTTATGTTTTTCTTTGCTTCAAATAAGAATTTATGGTGAATTAATGTTATTTTTTTTTCTCCCCCTTTTTTGATAAGTGATATTGATTGTGTTGAGCACATAAATAAAGTAAAGGGTCTTTGAAATTTTATTGACTTTTCAAATGCAGGACTGTCTTAAGCGCTGCATGGATTTGGTGAGAAAGGGTGCATCTGTCTTTTTCTTCCCAGAGGGTACGCGGAGCAAAGATGGGAAGATTGGAGCTTTCAAGGTTAGCTCTTCATTCTCATTCAGTATCACTCATGCTTGCAATATCTGTTGATTTTCTGTATTAGTACCAACAAAAGCATAAAGTTGAACTCACAAATTAGAGAAATAACAAATGGGTCTGTTAGTTTTCTGTATTACTAATAAATGATCCTACATAAAAATCAATAATACCAGGCTATTCCTACATGGGGACCCCATGAATCTTCTATTAGGTTAACACACTTAATGAGAGAGAAAAATCCTCGAGCATATATGAAGTCAACCTTGGTGAACTTCCTCTTAGTTGAAGCCTTTGGAAACTTGAACTCAGCTTCTGCATCAGAAAGGGAAAGAAGTATAGAATGAGATTAGAAGAAAACATTAAGGGCTATTATTTCCACACTACAAAATAATGGAAAATTTAATTTCTACTACATCCCTTGATTGTGTTCTAAAATCTATGTTTTTTCTCCATGGCCTTGATATGTAGAAAGGTGCATTTAGTATTGCAGCAAAGACTGGAGTACCAGTGGTACCAATTACTCTTACTGGAACTGGTAAACTTATGCCTGCGGGAATGGAAGGTACATTGAATTTGGGATCTGTGAAAGTAGTTATTCACAAGCCTATAGAAGGAAACAATCCAGATATATTGTGCAACAAAGCATGGAATACAATAGTAGATACACTCATTTGTCACAGCTAAAGGAGTGCATGGCAACAGATTTTATTCAGATTTTACATTCTCTAATCTCTATGGTAAAGGTACGTGTTCATATTTTTCCCCTTTCCTCTTTTTATTTTTTCTTTTTCTTCTTTTATATTTTTTTTGAGAAAAACTAATGAGTATTGTATTGGAATATATCTACTACCTAATATGAAAGAGAGAATTTAATTCCCTCTTTCATCAAGTCACAGGCTTTTCTGTTCCATCTTAACCCCTAAGGTAGTCCACCAAACACCAAGGGCTCCTCCCAGTTCTCAGACCTCCACCTACATTGGCTGAATTCCCTTCCACTCCCAAGGAGGTGAGCAAAACTTGACAATACTTGTGTTTGTCAGGAGGGCAGAAACCTTGGCTTTGGTTGTCATCAATAGGTGTGGTGAGAGGAGCTTTTCTGATCTAAAAACCTAAAAAAGTGCAGTTATTTCTTTCTTCCCATATGCCCACATAATTGCATGTATAATGGCTTGTGGGTATTTACTGCTCTTGTTATTTATTTTATATTTCTTTTATTTTCTTTGACTTATGGGCAGTTTATTAATTATACAGTTAAAGCCAAAGATCCTAGTGGTGCACCTATTCCATTCCCACATCCTTTACCAATTTTTGGAAACCAATGCACTACAAACATCCGATACAATTAAGATATTGTCAAACGCCTCTATAGTTCTAATGCTAAGCTTCATTATATATGGATGCTTTCACCAGTTCCGGGTTCCCTCATGTTTTGGCAGTAAGAAGGCTTCCCATGTTCCAGTCCATCTAGTTATGTTGTCTACCCAAGTTGGTTGATGTTTTAGAAGTCAGATATTTCTAACAATTTCATTGATGTTTTGGTGAACAAAGTGTTCCATTATTCTTTTTCTTTCCCTCCATGAGGTTATAACAAATTCCTTTGTTGCAGAACTTTTGTATTGGGCTCAATTGTAATATCTGGGTGGGATCAGCTATTCTATGGCTGTGTTTTTCTTCTCTTTTCACAACCTCTTGTTGTACTCATGCCTATTTATTATTAATGAAATCATTTCTGTGTTGCTGATAAAAAAAAAAACTTTGCATTTGACTGTTTAAAATGCCATCACCTAATGCTGGTCCCAGTTGGGAAGGGTGGTAATGTAGGGCCTGGTAGACAGAAGGTAAACCTACAATGTTGATGGATAGCCTTGCTCTAAAAACCAGCAAAATATGCTTTAAACCTAAGGGGAAATCTAGAGAATAATTGCTAGTTATTTTCCTGGTAATAGAGAACTACTGAACTACTAGAAAATAACAAAGTTAAAGAGGATGTCATGTGTTTCTCCAACTCTGATTTCAAGAGGGGAGAAAAGGGCAGCTATGGAGAAGAAAAACTAACTCCTTCAGTTGTGTTGTTCTACACACACACACACACACACACACACATATATATATAGCAATTACTAAAGTCGCAGATGGGTCCTAAGCATAGTTGTCAAGGCGACACCTAGGCGGATGACAAGGCGCCCTTTCAGGCTTGCCTCACCAAATCGCCAAGCAGTTTTGTACTATGTATTATAAAATACTTTTTATTCTTTATTTTTTGACATTATAATTATAAAATAGGCACTATTAAACTAAAATATTCATTTTGTGTGTTTATATACTAATTTCTTTTTATTATTTTCTTATTTGTTAGGGTTTAATCAATACAAACATTGCTAAATGCTGTATTGAACCCTCAAAGACTTTAAAACCTGAACTAATAACTAAGGAAGAACTTAAAATTTTGTCTAATCAACACATTTTCTACTACTACTTTTTTTCTTCTTTTCCTATAACAAAAATAAGGGTTCAGCCCTTATATTTTTTGAATGTTCTTTTCCTTCTTTTTCTTCTTCTCATTAATATGTGGATTTTCTATACTTCAACATGAACTCTATACTTTTCTTATGAAGTATGGTTATGGTACCTAGGGAACTACCCCAGGATCTATGTTTTCTACATAAAAAAATCCATCGCCTAGGCGACTATGCGCCCCCCTGTCGCCTAGCCTCACCTTGGCGCCTTGAAAACTATGCTCCTAAGTAGAATCTTAGAAACTTCTAAGAATAGTTTTTTTTTTGATCAGCAACAGAAAAATATTTTATTAAAATAGAAATAACTTTACAATACAAAGATGAGCCTCGGCTACACCATAGTCACGAGACAATAGCACAGCATTTTCTTACAGTTATAAATGAGCCCAAAAACAATTCCCTCTATTGATCCCTTGCTTAGCAAAATGATCAGTTAAGCAGTTTGCTGATCTAGGGACCCATTGCAACATCACCTGCATATCTTTTGAATATCTTTTAAATTTCTTAACCTCATTCCTGAAATACCATGGGACTTTGTCATTATCTTTCAGCCAGCTTATGATCACCTTTGAAGTTTGAATCTCTTTCAATCAACAACTTCCTAATCCCCGTCTCCCATGCCTTTTGGACCCCAAATACAGCTGCCTTTAGTTCTGCACCCGTGGAGTCCCCTTGCCCTATAGACCCAGAGTACAAGACACCAATTTTCCTTTGCCGTTTCTTATTACTCCTCCCATTCCAGCAGCACCTGGATTGCCAATACAGCTCCCATCAAAATTCAATTTGAAGAAACCATCCATTGGAGGTTCCCATTTTACCATATGTTTTTTCTTTGCTGAAGATGATGCTGCAATTGAATCCCACTGTCTGATAATATCATCAAAGGTGAAGTCAAGAAACAGGTTTGTTGTCTTCACCCAATGTGTTACCTTTATCATTATGATTTCAATCAGAGCCTATTGATAAAAAAAAAAATCAATCAGAGCCTCTTTGCTTCTTTTTTTCTCCTAAAAAATTTTCTGGTTTCTTTCTTCCCACAATGTCCAGACCACTGGAGCTCTTGTGCACTTCCAAAGTAGCCTTCCCCGCTTCCTTGGCCAGCTGAAAGTCAAGGGATCAAACAATCTATCCAGGCTGATAGGAGTGTTCCACCTGCAACCAAACAAGTAAAAAAACCATTCCCAAATACATCAAGCAAGAGGACAGGAAATGGGTAGGTCTCCTTTGATTCACACAGTTTGGAGAAAAGCACCAACTAGGTCTCCTTCTCTGTAATAAATCATGTGTTGATTGCACCATGGTAAACCTCCCAACAAAAAGCACTCACCTAGGGGGGATTGGATGACACCACACTTCCTTTACAGGGAAGGGCATAGGAAGTACTGGAGGAGAGACCAGCATTTTGAAAAAGGAAGCACAAGTAACATTACCGGAGGATTTACCCATCCATAGTCGGCTATCCACTCTGCTGTTATCTAGAAAGACTCCATCCAACAAAAGAAGCAATTGTGACACAAGATCCATCTCTGAATCCCTCACATTCTTACAGAAACCCAAATTCCAACCAACTCCAAACTGAGAAGGGGAATGGATCAATGGACCAAGAACTCAGATAAAGGTCTACCTTTGAAGGATGAGATAGCAAACAAGGAAGGAAAAGACTCCATTAAAGGAGTTTCTCCTAACCAAAGGTCCTCCCAAAATCTGATTTTGTTTCCTGAAATGACATCATACCTGGTATGGGACAAAAAAAGTGGAAGAATTTTGTGGATAGCCTTCCAAGGAGAAGCACTGGAGGCCCTGTTAGAAACTTGGCAAAATAGTAGTTGATTTGAGCTAACAGTTCCTTAAACAAAATAGGAAACTATTAATTATAGGCCATCTAAAAATGGAAAACTCCTAAAAATAGCAGCTGGTTTCAAAAATAGAAAATTATGGCTCAGTTTGGAAAGAGTACAAATACAAATATGTACAGTACTGGTTCATGTCGGATGCTGAAGCATTACTCTGGAACTGAGTTAAAGATAGAAGAATATGATGTGGTGTACTGGATGCCATGTGGATTAAGCTGGGTGGATCACAGGAAACATGGAGGTGAAGCTAGAGTCTTGGAAACTGAAAAGTCGGAGGAAGTCTAGAGAATAATTGCTAGTTATTTTTCTGGTAATAGAGAACTACCAAACTACTAGAAAATAACGAAGTTAAAGAGGAAGTCATGTGTTTCTCCAACTCTGATTTCAAGCTGGGTGGATCACAGGAAACATGGAGGTGAAGCTAGAGTTTTGGAAACTGAAAAGTTGGAGGAAATCTAGAGAATAATTGCTAGTTATTTTTCTGGTAATAGAGAACTATCAAACTACTAGAAAATAATGAAGTTAAAGTCATGTGTTTCTCCAACTGTGATTTCAAGAGGGGAGAAAAGGGCAGCTATGGAGAAGAAAAATGAACTCCTTCAGTTGTGTTGTTCTCTCTCTCTCTCTCTCTGTGTATATATATATATAACTCCTTAAAGTGAAATTTAGCAATTACTAAAGTTGCAGCTGGCTCCCAAGTAGAATCTTAGAAACTTAGCAAAATAGTAGTTGATTTGAGCTAACAGTTCCTTAAACAAAATAGGAAACTATTAATTATAGACCACTTAAAAAATGGGGAACTCCTAAAATAGCAGCTGGTTACAAAATAGAAACTATGGCTCAGTTTGGAAAGAGTACAAATACAAATATGTACAGTACTGGCTCATGTCGGAAGCTGAAGCATTAGTCTGGAACTCTGAGTCAAAGGTAGGAGAAGATGTGCGTACTGGGTGCCACATGGATTAAGCTGGGTGGATTGCAGGAAATGTGGAGGTGAAGCTAGAGTTTTGGAAACTGAAAAGTCGGAGGAAACCGGAATACTTTCTTTAAAGGATAAATTTTCAAACTATTTTGATTTTAATGCATGGGCCCACAAGGCCTCTTAGGCAGAGGTGGTGGGATCAAAGTCGAACCTGGGTGAACCTTTATTATCAATGGACCAGTCTGAACCAAGGTCTAAAGTCTAAACTAGAACAGAACTGGAGTTATGTGGCTCTTTTAAAAGAACTCATGCCTCCTCAACAGCATTTGAATGGGGACACAAACCGTTGGGCCAGAAGTCTTTGAGGGGGGGGCTAAAACAGGGGCTTTTCCTTTGATCAATGGGGACGATCCTGATTCCATCACCCATAGCACTTAAGTGGGGCACATGCC